GAGTTTTCGCCTGTCATGAGACAGTCAAATCTTAGAATGACGAAGCTAATAAAACAGCAAGCCAAGAAAGGTGGCAGGCTGAAATCCTAATTACTTCTAACATTAATTTCTTGACATCCATTGACTTACTTGGCAACGCCATGCTAACACTACATACTTGTAGATGAGTGAGGTTGATGACCCATAAATAGGTTATCCGGACAAAAACCGCCTGCAAATGTTTGATAGATAATAAATCTAATGTGGCCAAACACATGGTTAATCCAGGATAGAAACAATATGGCCTATGTAAATCGTCCTACGAATATAAACTATTAAGGTAACTATTTATAGAGATGGGGCAAAATAAGCTATTATCAAAATGAAAAGTGTAAAATGAGTTTGAAAATAAACGGGTCGGTAGATAAATAGAATGGTAAAATCTTACGAATCTCCTTTAAAAAGGCGGCTTCAGATGAGTCCGAATCTTCTTCAGAATATGATGTGGGCATAATCGCCTCAAATGGCCAGGATGAAGCTTTATTAGAAGCTAAGTTATTCTTCTGGCTGGCTGAATCTGAAAAGTATTCATCATTCTCTTCATCCGAAGAAAGGGCCTAGAAAGGTAACTAAGTGAGCTGATATACTTTTGCAATTGGCTCCCAGAATTCGGCCTCTTCGGCCTCCCTTTTTGATGGCTCCTCTAGTTGTCGCCTATCGAATTCATCCTCCAATTTGGCAATATATGGCTTCAATTCTAACCAAGCACGCATGAAAATACCGTGATGTATTGCTGACGGCAAAATTAAAGCCAAATTCATTAACGTGTAGGTTACAATAAGACCGGATACGCGCATTCCTATCAAAATACAGGCTATGCTGACGGAGGAGGACAGTAGAAAAAACTAAAGATTAAAAAGAGAACAAAATCAACAAAAAAATGAGTAAAACATTGAACAGCATGAAGAAAGAGATCATAAGCACAAGTTCATACTAATAAACGTCTTCTTTGGCGGAAATGAGCCAATCGAGATAGCAGATGAGTTCCGTGTTTGATTCCTTTCTCCAAAATCGCACTAAGCTCGGGAATTGACATGATTTTCTTTTCCTTAAGGCAAGCTTGGACCTCGTAGTAAAAAGAAGTAACATCTGAAGTAATCGGGTAAAATTAGGTACCCTGAGTTTCAAAATGAAACTGTCCTTTTATTGAGTCCAA